ACCCCTGCCATGGCAGGGACACCTCCCACTATCCCAGGCTGCTCCAACCCCAATGTCCAACCTGGCCTTGGGCACTGCCAGGGATCCAGGGGCAGCCACAGCTGCTCTGGGCACCCTGTGCCAGGGCCTGATCACCCTCCCAGGGGACAATTCCTTCTTCATATATCTAACCTAAATTTCCTTATTTCATTTTGAAGTCACTCCCCTTTGTCCTGTCACTCCAGTTCCTGATAAATTGTCCCTCTCCATTTTCCCTGAAGCCCCTTCAGACACTGGAAGGTGCTGTGAGGTCTCCACACAACCTTCTCTTCTCCAGGCTGAAGAGCCTGGGACAGTGGGAGGTGTCCCTGCCCATGCCAGGGGTGGCATTGGATGGTTTTTAATGTCCCTTCTGACCCAAACTATGATTCTATGGTAGTTGAGTGTCATTATGGGTAATATGTCCCATTTTTTCCCCTTTTCAGGTTTTACATCTGTTCCATTTCTCTAGAATGTTGTACATTATTTTATCTCTTAGAGCACTCTCCTCCTCATTTTAATGTGCTTTTTCTCTTATTTTTTTCCTCAAGTTTTCTGCTTATTATTGGTTCTTTTGGCCCCAAATGTTCTGCTTTCTGAGAGGTAGTCTCTTAGGAAGAGAAACCCAAATATTTCTTACAAGCTGTCCAGTAATTGATATAGAATGTACACAAACTCCTGTTTTCAAGTACTGCAAACCTACTCCAGGTGGTTTTGATGAAGAATTAAAAAAAAAGGACTCTCAAGTCTTTCCTGTCTTGGCAGTCCCTCCCTTCCTAAGGAAAATTTTTGAAAAGAGTAAGATTTGATAATTTTTGATAAGAAGAACTTGGATTCCCTTCATCCAGGTCACAACTTGTGTGCAAAGTTTCCGGGTGAGGCAGGATTCTGGTGGAATCCCAGCCTGGAGGATCCCTGACCCGAGCCTTAAACCCCCAGCAGAGAACACAAGTTCAGTTCCTGACAGCCCCTTCCATGAAGAAATTCCTCCTGATACCCAACCTGAACCTCCCCTTGCTTTTTAATGAAATGGATATTGAAGAGAACACTTTTGTACAAGGGAAGAACTATGCAGGTTGTTCATTATCCAAATAAAATTAACAAGCCAAAAGTATCTAGTAGTTTGTGCTGGAAAGTAACATTTTAAAAAGATGCCATCACCATTTAAAGGACATTTTATCTCTGCCCACGGTGCCAGAGCTTGGGTATAGCCAGCAAAATAAAAGTAGAGGATGACTGAGAAAATGCACAAACTCTTGAAACTGTAGTATTTTTAAGTGTTAGCAAAAAAATCCTCAAAACCTGACAAAAACCCCAAGAAGTTACAGTAATGCAGTGTAATAAATATCTGTGAGCTTTGTAGTTACCTACACTGAGCACCAGAGAAACTATTCTGTCACTGTACTCACACAGACCAGAAAGAGATTTTAGAGGGGAAAAATCCTCAGGGGATGTCCCCTCCCTGCTCCTCTCGCAGAGTGGAGCTGTCCTTCCTGACTGGGAGACTGGGCAGAGGTTGGTCTTTGATATCTTGGAATTGTCCAAGTTGGAGGAGCCCTCCAGGATCCTCCAGTGCCACCCCAGCAGCAGCAGCAGCATCCCCCAAACCCTGTCCCCAAGGGCCACATCCACACTGTCACCCTGAAGCTCACCTGAACTTCACCTGATGCCTTTGATTTGTAGGAACCTGACCTTTGGGTGGGAGGGACCATCCTGGAGACTCCTCACAGCCCTCAAGGGGTTGGGGCTGGGAGCAGATGAATTGTGAGTTGGAGCAGCCTGAATATTTGCTGGATGTGCAGGTGCCTTTTGCTTTGATTTCATGGAATCCCCAGGCTGGGAAGAGCCCCTCAGGATCAGCCAGTGCCACCCCAGTCCCAGCAGCATCCCCCAAACCCTGTCCCCAAGGGTCACATCCAGCCTGCTCCTGAACACTCCCACAGACAGTGACTGCAAACCTCCCTGGGCAGCTCATCCCAAGGCCTGACCACTCTGCCAGGGAAATTTTCTTTGCCAAT